ACGCACCCGAAAACTCTATAACCATCGTTTTTGCAGGACAAAATGCTGGGACTAGGGGTATATGAGTGGGCCTAAATAAACTACTTTTGTCAAATAATTAGTCAAGCAGTGTATATACTAAGTTAAATGGTTTTAGCCGGAGCTTTGGAGTTGTCACATCTGGTTTATAACATAGCACAGTGTTGTTGGTCCAGACTGTTTAACATGCGAACTCGTGAAAGCCGGTTATCATACACAGGAAGGACAGCGTTAAATATAAGTGGGATATAATATGCCTATCGTTGTTCTTGGTATGCTGATACATTCGGAATTCCCACAAAGGGCAGTAGAATAATCTTTTCTTGTGTTTTACACCTTATTATTCGCTAGCCTTTGCTGTACGAGTTTCAAAGACCTGTATGATATCATCGCCTTGGCATCCGATTTATTGTAGCCTCTAAACATGGCTTACTAAATGAAGTTCAGTATTAAAAACTTCCCGTTTAAATCCTTATATTATAACAAAGAACCCTGAAAAGACCGCAGGCGTGACTGGCCTCTTTTAATCTTCAGCATTACAGTTCATAATCGGAAGTTATTATGGAGAAACAAATGAGTGCGAGCATATGATATGGCGAAATTTTTCTCAATCGCGGAGGCTTGAATACAACAAATAATGCTCTTCTTCCGCAAGCAAGGTGCAACTGTGCATTTCCATCAACAGTTAAAAGTGCCAGTACAGCTTAAATAAAGTCCGGATCAGGCAGAATGCTGAGGGTCACCACTACAACATTTTTGGTCAGCGGGAAGGCCGTGTTAAATAGATAGTCAGTTTGTACCATAAGTGCAAGGTCAAAAAGTTAGGGGTTGTGAACATGGACCAATAAGCGCCATGAAGAGTATAACGGATGGATCTTTGGCCGGAGAAGGTAATTTTACTTACAACTACGCTGGTTGGGTACGGGAATAGGAGTTCTGGTAAAACAAATGGTGTCCCGCTTATTTCCGGGGATATTAAAGATAAGGTAAAGATATGCTTCCTAAAATGTAGCGCAGTTCTGCCTTTATTCCTGGAATGAGTGTTTTTTATCCCTTGCATTTTCATAATATCTGCATGCACTCGGACGTAGGGGATGCTGAACCATTTTGCCAACCATTATTTTGAAGCTCAGGGTAGGGAGTTTATTAGCAACAGAACCAATTTTCAATCTCCTAGTAGTAGTATTTTGACATGTAGACTACAAATTGTCTCCCTTCCCAAAAAAACGGCTGTCAACTTTATAAAAAGAAGCGTTGGTGTAATGGCTTAGCCTTTTGACCCCTCCCCCCTAGATCCACAATCAAGTAGATGCGATATTTATACTCCGTGAGGCTTCTGACATATGGTAAGTAGGGTGTAAACGTAGACCAGAGAGTATCTGCATTGCTGCGCGTAAAAGTAACGACCCCCAAATCCTCTTCAAATCAAGTTACTGAATTATTTACTTCGAGACAGAGGTTAATAAGGTCCAGCACCTGAACTGAACGTCTCTCTTATTGCCAATTCAAGCGAACAAGCGAGTCCGAGCAAGCAATTGAAGGCAAGTATCGTTAATTGTCGTTGTATGTTTGCAGGAAGGACTGTATGCTATAACTACTACACACTCCTGTGCATGTGCTACCCGTATCTCCTACTGCTTTCTGCGTATGTTTCTGATGTTGACTCCACGATGGATGTCGAAACGTCAGGCGAATAAATTATGGTCACAGCGATCGGTTTTTCTTAGTCTTTCTTATTATAAATGATAGACGATAACCTTCATCGCTCCTTTGTCTCATTAAAACGTTTGGGCTAGGAAAACATACGAGCATGACCAACGGACTGTCAGTGATTTTGAAAAGACATTATGAGTAAATACAACTCATTCTCATTTTTTTACTTTACCACTCAGGCCTAAATTCTTATGTTGAATCTTTAAAAGACACGGCGGGAACTATTATTACTGAGTTATATCTATTTAACTGTGGTTATATCTATCGAACCTTGCGCGTTATGTTTGCTAGTTTCTTGCATTGCTTTTTAGGTAAAGGAATCTAAAATACCTCAACAACTAGATTTAACAAGGTTTCATTTGTAATATGTTGTGCTTCAGCATGTTAGAAGCATTTATTTACCAAATTTATCTCCTTATAAAACACGTCCAAGATTTCCTTACAAGAAAAGTTTCATGTATATTGTAATGGCGGACTTAAATGCAAGTCTGATATGCACCATCTGTCTGTCAATGTTATCAACCGACGGTTGAGCTCTTCACAAAAATTCACCTGGAGAAATATATTGAAGAAACCGATGAAACCCTCCGCAAAAATTTGAATCATTGGCTCGGAACTGTGAGCTAAGGCAGGAAACTTTGAAGACATCTTCAGCTGATAGGTTTACCTTAAATTGTGTTCTACCGCAGAGATCGATTTCTGTTGAAGAAAGTAGAAGCAGTACATATGGAAACCACCCCTTGCTTGTTATCGAGCAGGCAGATGCAAATCCGTGTAAGTATGTTTTGATCACGTGATTTGTAATAATCATCTTCAACGTATTTCAGACTGTGAAGATTTACAACCTATAGCTCGCATTTTCGTGTTCTTACTTATCAGCATACCACGCGTAACTTTACTTTTTTTCTTTGTGGTATTATTGGTATCAGACAAAATCCGTTTCATATTTTTTCGCTTCGGAACTGGTCAATGCAGTCCAATTGGGATACAGATCAGCGTTGAGGACTATATCGCTGATAGATTTAACTAAGGACAAAGACAGTACTAGCATAAAATTCTCTTAATTTTGAATGATAATAAATGTTTTGTCTTTGTAGTTCTCAGCCATAAGCTTAAGATATATATCGGCCATTGGTTCAAAACTATTCTGAGAATCCCAAAACCACTGCTTATTCAAAGAGCGGCCGTACATGGGTCGTTTATTTTCGTTAATAATTTCGCCTGCTGGCACTCCCAGTCTTCTTGACTCTGTCTTGGTACCGGACGTAGGGGGGAATGAGGGTATCGAGTGCAAAGGATTCTGTACGAATCCACCATTAGTATAAGCAAATCCATGCCCAACTCACTGTTTCTGGGCTCGCCATGTTGCTGGACACACACTGCACATAGTCGTTGATGGCGGTACACGGTCTACTATCCTGCTCTAAGAATTTCAATAATATTGGTTCATTTCAACAGTAGATGTAAATTCCGTCAATTGCCCAAAGTCCTTACTCGGAACTCTGGCAAAAATGGACAATCTAACTTGGCCCTCGAGTAGTCAGGTTTTGGGCAAAACATTGCTCACATAAATGGACAGTCGTATCGACAATTCTAATTTAAATCACTGCTCCTAAACAGCAGAACCATCACTTCTGTAGGAGGGAAACTATGGCATCAGCTGGCATTGAAGTCGCGTCTTACGTATTTCGAAAATTTTTCAGTTTGCACCACCTTAGCAACACGCTTCCGCTTTATCTCCTGCTGCATTAGTTTTCTCGCCCCGTCAGGTTAAGCGACCTGACCATCTGTCAGACCATCGATGTCAGAATTTCGATTCTGTAAAAACAATAGCAAGTTTTTACGTAAGAAACATGTTGCACTTGGGCGCCTCTTGTACATTCCAGGGGCCAAAGTTAACAGTTGTACGCCTCAGCTTGGCCCCTAGTTTATATCAGGCGTGAATTAACTTGGTTTCACCTTGTGTCGTGGTAAATGGTAAATGTCGACTAGGGTTACAGTTGACCGATAAAATGTGGTGAAACATTTTGCAAAGAAGCAGCGGTAAAGCGGCGGCGACGTACTGTAGCTCTTGCACTTCGCCCAGTAATGAGACAAATTAACGTGACTCTTCGCGTCCCCTTCGGTTAATAGATGAAGGGAACAATATTTTAATGTAGAGTAGAACTTCCGTCTTACCAAAGAAAGTACTAATTCCAAGTAAGGAATGGAACCACAGGCACACATTAAAGCGCCTCCTTAAATGCGACATTCGAGCTTGTTCTGATGTCGTGTGCCTGAACCGCTTGCGCATGATCGTTGGCGTGGTGGTGACACAAAATGAGCATACTTTACTCATCGAGCAGTGGGTATTTATCTCCTTGAACATTACTGTTTGATGTGGAGCCGTCTCATTTGATAATACGCTTTGTAATATTTTGTTCGAAGTTTCAGTTTACGCAGACAAAAGATTATCTAACAGCTCATTAATTTATTTTTCTTTCTCAGCTTCTTTCAGGAGGCCCGCGTATGACACCCTGAAGAGCAGCAACTGTAAGGATAGGCAGTACTGGATCAACTTTGGAGATTAGAGTGCATATTTAGCAAAGGATCAGTTAGCAGAAAAGTCGTGAACACATTTTAGGCATAGGGCCCTATAGCATGTGTAAGTGCGCGCTGTACAAAGGTTATATCTCTATTGGGTTCCTCCTGTCTCGTAACTACGAATTTCCACTGAATTTTCTGGCTGGGCATCTGATTCCTTTGTTGACGTTTGGTCACGGCGGTCCGCGTATGGAAACCGGGGGATCTAGTTTTGGTGGAGAAAGCTGGATGCCGGGTGTCTGGAGTACATCACGACATCTCTTTTTGGCTCCGTGTCGGTGAATCGTTGACCTAAATGGGTAATTAGTATGAGTGTGGAACTACAGGGAATCTTACGTGGTCTGTAGCTAGCGGCTCCACCAAAAACGTTGATCTCGTCAGTGGGGTCGGCTTTCCAACCAACGGCACGCAAAACGGCACCGCGTACTTCTGATAGAACCGTATTTGTGTAGTTGGAGTTCATTTGATGTGCCCGGGTTACACCGATCATGATGCGCGCGTCCTCCGTTGTTTTTCCAAATAAAGCGGGGTTGGAGGCCTTGGTGTGTTTGAGTGGAAAAAGGCGAACATAGTGCAAACAGGAAATAGGCGCAAAATTTCTGCAAAATCCAAAATTCATTCTTGAGGTCCCTCAGCTATGGCCGGTTTCCTCGTAAATGTTTCAACAGACGTGGTTTCCTAGCTCTCGTGATTTCAGTCCATTAGAGAACAAGCTAACCGAAATAGCACCCCCCCCCATGTAAGTCAATAGTCGGAATCGGGATTTATTATATTTTCCTTCCTTCTAGAATACGAACGTCTCCCAAGTATAAGAAGACGGTCTTATGCAATATTCCAGGGGGCGTAAACATCCCCGTGTCCTAGGCCTAACAGCAAACCTCCGCCAAAGCTTAACCATAATCCTAACCTTAACTCTTACCCTAATTTCCCTAGAATTTATCGCAATGCAACCTATATTACGAATGGTTACTGTTCCTAATTCTTGTCCGGAGGTTCATGTAAGTGTTTTAAACTGTCTTTTCACGTAAGTTCGAATTAGCTATAGCTCCGACGCTTAACCGCTTATGATACTTTTGCTTCGTCCCGTCCATGACCTGGTGTTCAACAAGACAACCCCACATCAATTTCCAACTTCGACTAACCGACAACATTAGATGAAGGTATCGGACTCTGGCGCATTCTTGACCCTTATTTACTACCCCAAACAATAGTTGTATGGATGGAAAATTTGCAGTCCTATAGGTGATCTAGATTACTTTTGGTCGTATGTCCAAGATGAAACGTCGGGACCCAGGGGGGTCTTGGTAGCTGCCTGATCTAACTAAGCAGTTCTAGTTAACCCGATCACTGCTCAGGCATTAAAGTACTAAATGTGCGGGTAAGACACGCCATCTTCAAACTGACTGTGGCCCCTGAACGCTTAATTTACGGCCTAAAGAACATACGAGAACTGTCAACGTGTCGATCACCACTCAGGTTGGCAGTCTGCGATGTTCGTTTACTCGTAGAGCATCCAGTCGCATGGCGTCCAGAAAAGATAACTCTGGTCGCTCGCAAACTGGCGCGCTTGAAAGTGCACAGCACGCTCTCGTGAAGCACTCTTCTCTGAGCAGTAGCGGATAAAGAGGTTGACATCGAATACTACTTATTCTGGAGGGGAGTTCCCATAGGGGTGCAATAAGATGTCGGATCCACCTTTGCCACTGGGAATGACATCATGGGATGGCTGTTCTGCCTGCAGTAAGGCATAAATGACCATCTTATGACTGAGCCTGCTACTAAATGGATCATATTCGCTACTAGCGTCTGCGCCTAGGCCCCTTGGTGATCAACTCGTAGAACCAAAGAGCATGTTCAAGGAAAACCAGTGCACCCTTATAGCAAATATTCTAAAGGCGCGCAAGCTGGCTATACTTGGAGACCTAAATATTCGCGTCCGCACAGACCCTATAACCTGCGAGGGAGAACTGACCCTCTGGGAGATCGGCAAAGTCATAAGCAATGTCTCTCTTCTGATCGTTTCTATGGAACACAATTTTCAACTTAGAATCATCTCTTTCTGCCTTTTGATGTGGCAGATGCGAAGGTAGTTGGCATCTGGTGGGCTACGTCCTCGTTCGAAGACGTTATCAGCGCGGCGTGCTAGCTACTAAGAGAGTACGCCATGCTGAGTGCTGGACTGATTTACACTACTTCATTCCTTAGATGAGGATAAAATATCC